TTTAGCCCGTAGGGTCCCCCAGGTGACCACTGATCTGTAGGTCTCCTACCATGTCATCCCCCGTTGCCAATACCAGGTCCAGTAAGGCATTCCCCATAGTGGGACCATGTACCTCCTGCGTCAGATGGAGGTCCTGTACACAGGATAGGAACCTGCGTGAAAGGTGGGACTTTGCTGTCTGCGTCTCCCAGCAGATGTCTGAGTAGTTTAGGTCCCCCATGACTACCGCCTCTTCTACAAAGCTTAAAATATACTTCTACAAAGTTTAAAATATACTGTAGTTTCATGGGGAGAACAAAGAGAGCAACCTAATATGAACAGAAGAAGGGAAGAGAAGCAAACCCTCAATGAATATGAATGAATTGACAGTAGGCCTGTGCAAAGTGGCTAGTATTCGCTTTGGATTTGGATTCAGATTCAGTGGATTCAGGGGATGGTGATTCGAATCACTGCCCTGAATCGATTTGGCCAAATCTGATTTGGAGGTTTGGCCCACGCCAAATCAGCCAAATCTCTGAATTCAAACAAGCCCATCTCCCACCCACTCTCTCAGCCCCATCAATGGCTGCCCTACCCAACCCCAGCCTCCCAGCTCTTAAAATAAATAAATAAATAAATAAATAAATAAATGCCCCACCTCACCAGCTCCTGCCAGGCAAGGGAGGGCAATCCCTGCTGCCTCCCACTGCCCCACGCTGCATGGGGGGCCCTGCCACGTGCCCCCAGAAGCCCCAACAGCTGCTGCTGCAGCCGGTGAATGCAGGGGGGGTTTGTTTGTTTGTTTTTTGAAAGAACCAGGAGCTGGGCTGGGCGGGGCGGCCATGGGGGGAGCTAGGAGAGCGGGCAGGGGATGGGGGCTCATGGCAGAGCCCCCCACATAGCGTAGGGCAGTGGGGATTTCCCCCACACCTGGCAGGAGTGGGGGCTTTGTTTTGTTTTTTTTAAAGAACCAGGAGCTGGGGTGCAGTGGGGCAACTGGGAGAGTGGGCGGGGATCAGGGGCCCTCAGGCTGAACTGGGGGAGCAGGCAACGGGTGGGGCCTGGCAGGGGTCCCCCCATGGCACCCTCCCCTCTCCTTGGTGCCCTCCCCTCCCGCCATCTACTTACTGGCATGGAGTCTGGGTCCAGCTCCCTGCAGTGGAGAGCAGGGACTGCCCAATTCTCCAAAGCTCTCCGAATCTTTTACGAATCGATTTGGAGAGCTTCAAATCTATTCGGTCTCCTGATTCAATTCAGATTCAGAGATTCGACCACCAAATCGGGCCGACTCTCCTCCGAACTGAATCAGCACCCGAAGCTTCACACAGCCCTAGTTGACAGCAATGGGATAAATTTTTTCTCTTGGTTAAGTCATTCTCACTGGACAGGAAGACACGATCAGTACTCTAATACTACACATAAAATTGTATCTTGCCCTGTAGATCTTGTAATTTCTGTCTTAGGAAAACCACATCCTTATGCAAGGAAGACACAGCTGATGTTTGGAAAAGTTTCTCATCATTTGTAGCACATCCATGTAATATAGCCTCACTTATTCTAAATAGCTCTTTCCTGTTTTCCATTTCTTGTTATTCCCTTCAAACCTCTACCTAACTGCCACTCTCTATTTATCGTCCTTGGTTATGTTCAGCCTCTCAGAGATGTCAATCTCTATCTTCCACTATGTCTTCTTCTATGCAGAACTTCTTTCTTGAATTTATTTGCAAAGCCCTAGTTTCTCTATAAACCAGTTCTGAAAGTCATGTCTATTATACTGCCTATGGAATATTTCCTCCTCCCTGCATTCCAGGGCAGCAGCTCCTGGCATTTAGGGTGCTCCGGGCACCAGGACTCCCAGCACTTGAAGCACTCCAGAGGTTCCAGGGCTAGAGTGCAGAGAGCAACTACTAGGTCCTAGGTCATTGCAACATGCTTAACAAAAAAGGAACAATCAACAACAAAGGCACCATTTATGATATTAAATATACTAATATGCAGTGCGTCCTGCCATGTACCCCTCCCACCCCCCACCCTCATTTTGTTTTTCTGGCATGCCAGCACTCCAGCACCTTCCAAGGTAGACATTGTGGTTTTTTCAGCGCTCCGGCCAAAAAACATTGCCTACCCCTAAACTAGGAGCTTGGCGCTTGCAGTGCCCAAGTACCAGGAGTCCTAGTGGCTGAAGCACCTGAAACGCAGGGAGCAGTGGCATCCCAAGTGCTAGGAGCCTCAGCATTCAGGGAGTGCAGGAGGATGGGAGGTGCAAGCAGTAGCAAGGATGCTGGAGAAAGGGTGCTGGGATGGGGGGGCATAAGCCACAAAGTCATTACACAATAATTGTAAAATGTAAAAATGTAATATTTTTTTGGCTGGTTTATATCATGCCATTAAATGAAAGGATGAGCAAGTTGGGGCTTCCAGCTGTGGGACATGCTCCCATGGCTGGAAGCCCAAATCAGCTGAGGGGCTCCCAGCTGCAGGAACTTGCTACTTGCTGGCTCAGGAAAATCATGATCCCAAATTCCCCCTGCATTGGCAATAAAGTGTGATGGGATCCAGTACTGGATCCCACAATCATGCCTCCTGCCATGTGGCATGGCAGGAAGCAAGACTGTGGGGATCCTCTCTACCAGAGGCTAAACGCATTTCAAAGCCCCTTGAAACATTTAAAGTGTTATGTCTGTCCACAACTTTGGAGAATGCCATAATAACAATGGTTGTGACTTCCCAAAATTGCAAAGCAAAAAACCAAAGATCATGAAGCTAAATTCTTAAATAAAATAGACAAGACTGTTCAGCCAGTCCCCTAAGTCCAATATGTTCCACCTAAGATGGTCTGCACACCAATGGCAGCAAAGTATTAATAAAAAAAGTGTAAGAGGCTTTTTCCTTCCTAATTTCCTTTCCCCACCATCCCTTGTCCTGGCAAATATGCCCAAGCAGCATATTTCTTTTGTCTCCTTTAAGAGGCACTGTATACTTGAAATTTAGCCAATTAAAATAAAGAACTTCAAAGAGTTTCAGATAACATCCCTGGCAGAAAATTGAGACTCTGCCCATTTTTAGTTTGACAATCTCATTTTCCTAACTTTTAAGCACTTTCTTTTTGCAGTGACACACATAACTGCAAGGGAAAACTAATTGGCTGACTCTACACTAAATTTTGTCAAACATGCAAAGTATCAGGCTGAAAACTGAGTATTTTCTCTAACATTTTCCAGCTATCATGATCTTAGGGATCACTAGCTGAGAAGGCTACAGGAGATCTTGCATACCTTCTTTTCCATTCAACTTAAAAAGCTTTTGTTCAAGTAATATGCTAAACATCTCAGAGTAATCTAAAAACAATTTATAATTTCTATTAAAGTCAGGTCTCCTACATAAAGTTGTCCATGCCAACATTTTCCCTCTCTTCAGTTTCTTGTCCACTATTGTACATATGTTCCCTTTGACAAAACTCCAAGGAATAAGCCCCCTACTGCTTGAAGGTGAAACATTCCAATCCAAAACTCATGTCCTATGTTCAAAGAAATAAGTACTCAACAGTCCTTCACAAGCTTCAGCAGTTTCCCTCTTTATCCCTTCTGAGATTCAGTCAATAGTCCCCACCAGGGTTTGTCCCAATCAACATTCTATTTCTGTTATGCAGAAACAGAATAAGGAGGCTTCCTCCCAGTACTTTTGGATCAGGCATGTCAAACTCAACAGGCCCCATCGGGGGGACCAGCCCCGTGCACCACATGCAACATATGCCCTGAACCAGCCCCGTGCACTGTGTGCTGCAGGAAGGGCCAATCCAGTTCATACCGCATGTAGCATGTGGATCCAGTCTGAGACTCACTGATGGCACCACAGGCTAGATGATAAAGCTCTGTGGGCTGAATCTTTGACAACCCTGTTCTAGACGTTCTAGCTGGAGCCCTATGTGAGAATCAGTACCAACACTGGCTTCTAGTCCACATTAGAAGCATACAGTTCCAGGGCACCTTTTCATTTTCCTCTATATCTTCCTGGACCTCCCATGCCCTACCCCTTTACATTTCTTCTTCACAGCTTCCACTGGACCAGCTACCTGTCTGGCTCTTTTGGCAGAAGTCCACGCCACATCTGACCTTCAACCAGACAGCTTCACCAGCAAGCAGCTGCTCTCCCTTAGATATCCCCCTTCCCAATCTCTCTCTCTCTCTCTTCCTGTCTTTCTCTCTGAGGAAACTAGCTGACAAAAAAAAATCCTTGAAGAGCCAGAGGTTCACCTAGCATTATTATTTTAGTTACACTGCTTTCAAGTCGCAACAAAAAATGTGTTCTTAAATTACAGTTGAGATTAGGGGAAAGTTATTACTTGAAAGACGCATATGATCCTTCAAGTTTGGGCTTGTTGTCAAACTCACCTCTATGCTTTAGGCATAAATACAGTATATTTGCTGCTTTTCAGATTAACAGCAGGATGGTCTTAAATTTCAGGTCTACTTTCCTCTATATTCTTTTTCTCCAAAATAAAGATTATTGTTAAAGATGAGATGTTATGTAGTTTATTCTACAACATTAGGGATTTGCAATTCACATTTTACAAACTTAACATTTCACTTGCTCTTACTGCCTTGGTTTTCAGCCACCATAGAGAGTGAGATAAACAGCTTTTAAGAGTTTAAATATATATATATATATATATATATTATTTGGGTTGAGCAAAATCAAATCAGACTGTGCATTCTAGGTGTACACCACATTATTCTTTTAAGACCATACATGACGCAAAACTAAATTCTAAAACTATTCTAATGTATGCATAGTGGTTATTCTTGAAAAAGGTCCCTGCCGTTGCAAGATATCTTACCTATTTGAGAAATAGTCCATCTACAGGTAACAGCAAGAGAATTGGGACTCTTACAAAACAAGAAAAACTAAGTATATATGATTTTCTCTATGCATATATCATATATTCCTTCTTTTAGATTTCATTTCAGAAGTATATGAAATTATACACTCCAGCAGAGATTTCAAACTTAAGAAAGACTTACAAGATTTCCCAGCAGGTTTTTTAACTGTTGATCTATTTCTTTCAGCCGGATTTGTTGATCACGTTGTTCCTTAGCATCTCGTAGAACCTTCTCACCTGGGGCTGCTTCCAGATTTCTATTTGTATAAGCCAGAGATTCCTGACAAAAACAGAAATGGCCAGAATTAAACTATGTTAAAGTACAAGACTTTAGCAAAAGAGCCAAGTTGACTTCTACAGAACTGGAAATATTTCTATTTAGACATTATTTGTTAATTTTACATTTTGACCAATGTAAATTTTGTGTTACGCATATGTTTACATACAGTATTTAATCTTTGGATAGGATCAATGCAACAAAAAATACTTGGTAACTCTGTTCAAATTGGAAAAGGAAAATAAGTGCTCATATTCAAAATTTCTACTCTAAAATTCTGTTAAAATACACAAAAATATTTAACAGTGATGGCAGTATTTTTCAAAATTGCTCAACATTGAGTTAACTGCCACTGACTTAAGAAGGAAAATAATTAAGTCACTTTTGAAAACTCATACCTGTGACAATTCTGTCACCCACAAAACTTGTGGACTTCCTTTGCACAATGGACCACGTGGGGGTGTAAATGGCAAAACCCTACTCAATCCCAAACCCATACAATAAGGCACATGCAGCTAAACTGCAATCACTATATATTACTGGCCAGAGCTCTACAATTTTAAAATATTCAGTAGCTAAGGACCAGATTTAGATGGTCTTACTCACAATGAGGATTATCTTGCTCCCTGAGTGAGCTTACTGAAATCATTCAAGGAGCATAGTACTACCCAATGCAACTATGAATAGTGTAGAACTTAACCCACTTGGCATGCTAAATGTTGGCAAAACTGCAAAGTGGCATATGAATGACATAATAAGAGTTTGCCTTTGGTAACCAAGGAGCCAATGCAAGAATCCAAGTCATAGAGTAGTCCAAGAAATAGCAGAGAATAAAACTTGACAAAGTCTAATTACCTTTAACCCAAAGAGCATGCCCAACCATTTAAATAAAATCTCAGTTTAATCAATCACTCTTATTTTCAGAAGCAACTGAAGCGTTCCTGATTGACATACACTCTTAAGCAAAGAAACCAAGTAGTGTATCTCACTGGAAGGAAAGAGTTTTCTAGATTTCTACAAAAATTCTCAGCTTCACTTTTTAAAGTTGCGACAATTTTAAAACAAATATTTTTCAAACCATTATGCATATGACAAGTAAGCGAGCTCTGGGCTTTAAACCATAATACTTTGTATAACATGCAACTTATTTCTCAATTGACTAAGTGCAGTAAGCCTCAGAGCAATAGTTCAAAAGAGGCCTATTGGGGTAGCATAGTTAAAGGCACATCAGTTTCTGTAGCCAAAGGCACACATGAGAGCCACTGGCTACAAAAACTGGTGTGCCCCCCACCATGCAATACTGCATCTAGCCACTTTTGACTTCCCAGCCCACCCTCCAACTCAAGCCAGGTATAGCAGCCCAGCAGCTGCTGCTGTTGCTCCCTTCCCTCCTTCTCCACTGACAGCCCCACCCCTGCGTGAAAAATTAATCCTTGTGGTAAGACAAGTTCCCTACAGTGTGCTCTGAAGCAGAGCATCTTAATATGTTACCTGATTAGATCAGGGTTATTTTTTTGCATGATTGGTCATTTTAGAAGCACTCTGTAGCCATGCATGTGTGTTTGATCATAGCTATCTTTCAGGAGCTAGATTGGGCAAAAAATGTCACTTCTGTCTACACCCAAAGTTATAAGGCTACAGCCTCTATGAAGTACATGAGCACTTTTAACTTCTTTTTTTACTCAAATTTAAGATGCAGACCATTTTTAGAAGAAACATTTGTTTTAAAAAGTACACCTTACATTTAAAGGGATATGGTATATATACACACAATATACACTTAATTATGTATTAAGATAGAATTTGATGTTAATATAGAGCTCAAATATAAGATTTCTTTCAGGCACAGCATTTTTGGTAACTAATTAGAGCTTTCTTCTCCGGGTATTGAAATATAAGCAAAACAGTCAATTAAAGTGAAAAAGAAAAGCCTGAGGCAGTTTATTTAATTTGTTTTACAAGTTATAGCTCTTTTTGCAATTAAATTACAATTTTAAAGCTAACTTCTTGATCAGAACATTTCCCCTCTCTTCAGTTTCTTGTCCACTTTTATGTAATGGTCACCTCTGAGCTTTGACAAAACCTAAGGGAAGAAGCCCTCCCCCAGTTTGAAGGGGAAACTCATGGCAGAATCTGTTCTGTGGTTATCATTCAAGTTTATATTTATAATAAAACTAACCAATTCCCATCAAGAATAACAGGTGGCGGGGAGGGGAGGGGGTTGGGATGGAGTGCTGCCAAGCCCCATGCTACTGCCCATGGGTGGGGGAAAGTCGGGCCAACCTG